AAACAGCTTCGTATTGCTTGGGAGGAAAGGTATTAGAAGGGAAGGGAAGATGTCACTAAAGAGAATGAGAGTAAACAGATATAATTCAAGGAAAGGGGAATATGGAAATTGAAAAGAAATGAAAAGACAAAAGAAAAAAATAGGAAATAAAAAAAGAAAAAATTAAAAAAATATAATAAAAAAGTGAAAATAAAAAATTATAAAAATACAAAAAATATTTTAAAAAATTAAAAAAGAAAAAAAATTAAAATTAAAAATTAAAAAAAAATAAAAAATGCAGTCTTAGAGTTTGGTTAACTTCTCTTCCAGTAGGTGGAGCTGTGCCTACCGGGCCAAGCTTCTCCTCTCAGTGCGCGGGAACCAATCACTGTGCAGCAGCTCCTCCTCCCCCAACTAGGCGGGTCTCCACTCCTGAGTGCCTCGGGCCGTTTCTTGTGTCTAGTCACCTCTCCCTGGCCCCGTTCACAGGTGACGCTCACCACAATACTGGTTACGCGCCAGGTCTACTGCTCATGGGAGCCCTATCTTCTTGAACAACTGGGCACACTCTCCCTGCTTGCCAATCCCTCAGCTCCTAAGGTTGTGGAGCTTGGGGCTGAGAGCCCTCGGCGTATTTTGCTTGCCCTCCGGTACCCACGCCCCGGGGAGCTGGTGCAAGAGACCTCAGTTGTCTGCGCTGGTGGGAGCGGTAGCCGGGGTCCCACGCATCGGGTCCCGCGCCACTCCTGAATCCCTCAGTCTGACTATCGCACTCACAGGAGAGCTGGGAGGGGCCCTTGAGGTTTCCCCGCTGTGTGGAGGGGGGGCTAGGGGATTACACACCTGTCGCCGCTGGTATCAAGAAAGTTATCTCCTCCACCGCTTTCTGGTGACGTCAGTTCTCTGCCATGTTGGTATCCCATGCGAATGGCAGCATTTTGTTCCCTTTGCCGGGTGACCAAAGCAACAGGTGGGTCCTGACCAGCCCTCCCAAGCCCCGTCTCAATCCTGTTGCCACTGCCTATGAAGGCTCGGTTGGTATTTACCTCCACAGTATTCGGCGGGACCCGGACCGAGAAGCAGTTTCCGCGGATTCTTTAGCACCGAGCCAGAGCAGTTTGTCTGCGAGATGCAGGCGAACAGGAGCCTGAATTTGGCCCCTACGGGCTCCATGTGTGTTCTGAGAGGCCCAGACTGTTCGCCCCAGATCGACGTTAGCTCAGCAATGCCTAGTGATCTTGAGCAAACAGCATTTAGATGATTTAAGAATCCCTATGCCCGCGCAGCTGGAGAGGTCAGAGACTTGATACCTCCGTGCCTGCCGCCATTTATTATTGTTTTCAAAGACCTAATTTTAGGTTTTCATTTTCCTTGTTTTGTCTATTTTCTATTTCCTTGATTTCCTCTTTTTTATGATTTCATTTCTTTTACTTACTTTGGATCTAGTTTACTTCTTATTTTCCATTTTTAAAGAAGAAGCTGAGATCATTGATTGGGATCTTTCTCCTAATAGAGGCATTAAAAATGAAACATTTTCCTCTAACTACTGCTTTACTTGTACCCCATATACTTTGATATTTTGTGATTATAAAATCAGTTCAACGTATTTTTTAAGATTTTTTTAATATGGACACAATATCTTTATGTAATTTCTTCATTTTTATGTGATGCTAAAGATCAAACAACATTTTTTTAAGATTTTTTTTAATATGGACACAATATCTTTCTTTATTTATTTTCTTTGTTTTTATGTGGTGCTGAAGATCGAATCCAGTGCCTCACAAGTGTGAGTCATGTGCTCTGCTGCTGAGCTGTAACCCCAGCCCCAGTTCAGCATATTTTAAAATTTTCCCTTAAGAGTTTGTCTTAACCCATAGATTATTTAAAAGCATGTTGGTTAGTTCCAAGTATTTGGGAATTTTTCTAGATATTGTTTATTTCAAACATGTCAGTTTTTTGGAATTTAATGAGATTGTCTTATAGTCCAGCAAAAAGGGCCTATTTTGGTGAATGTTGCAGGTTCATGTTAAGAAGAGATTGAGCATTCTGCTGTCATTAGGTATAGTGTTCTTTCGATTATTGTTAGTTAGAATCCATTTACATTTAATATTGTTGCCATCTTGGGGCTGGGGCTGTAGCTCAGTGGTAGAGCACTTGCTTAGCATGTATGCCGTCATGTGTCCAGTCCCTAGCACTGCAATAAATAAATAAACCTTGATAATTTTAAAAATTCCATTTGTTTCTTTACTGCCTTCTTTTGGGTCAATGAAATATTTTAAACTATACTATTGTGTATCATTTCAAATAAAAATACTATTTAGGCACACGGTTTCATTATGTGAATAATATCTTAAACTTGTATTCAAATTAGAGTATGCCAAGAGAGTTTAAGGGAGGCACATAAAGTGAATGGGTCACTGTGGTGCTGCAAACCAACTTTTACTACCAAAACTATTTGGTGCTAGTTCTGCCTTTCTTTTCCCATCCCAACATGGAACCATGAGCTGGTAACCTTTTTTATTTAACATGTCATAAAACATGTTTGTAGAATATTTTAGTCAATATAACATGATCATTGCCTGTATACTGTCACTCTTTTTATGAGTGAGAATATGAATTTCCTTCCAATTAAATGTCAGACAAGTTTCATTTTTATGTAATCACTCAAACATTTAATTCATGAGCAGCTTTGTGTTGCCTCCAGAAGCTTTCGATTTAGATGAGAAGGCATTTTCATGATTTTATTATGTATTAATCTATGTTGTATTTTATATTATATAAATTTATTGTATATTTGTATAATTTAAAAGATAAATAGCAACACAATACTGTGTGTGACTGTTACAGATAAATGAAGTAGATAAAGATGTTTGGTTAATGAGAGAAACAGTTGCCTAAGCAAGGAAATTACCATGTTAGGCCCTGGCCACAAAGGATTCTCTCTACAGACTAGCAGCCTGCAAGGCATACATTTCTCTGACATTTTCTTGAATTTCCTAATAAACAGTATGGTTTTATTTATTTATCTATTTATTTAGCCTCTGACTGTCTACAGAGGTTCTTGATCGTTTATAATGAGGAAAAACTCTTACCTTTTTTCTTCTCTTTTCTTTTTCTATATATAGCTATAGATAAGTATCACATAATTATTTGGATTAAAATTTCATTTCAATTTGACTTTCCTGGTGAGAAACATTTACATCATTTTAGCCTTGTGAGCATGAATTGCCTCTCTTTCTAGGTGTAATCAGTTTCTACTCTTCAGCATACACAACATTTTGTGAATAATATTCAGTGCAGAAAGAGATCTAAAAATAATTTGTAGGCAGCGTTTTGTGAGTAGAACACTGGCTAGCAAAAAGAACAAAGGCGCTTCAGGGTAAAGGTATAGTAGGTGGAGCATTTTATTTCATTTGCTCCACCAAAGAACTTACATTTAGTGGAGAAGAAAAATAAACAAGAAACAGGCTTCTGCACCAGCTACTGAATGCTTCATTTCTCATCACTGTTAGTCACATGTGAACAGAACTATTGCAGTTCTTTGGGTGTGTATGACTAAGCTTACCCCCTCCTTTTTTTTTTTTTTTTCCAAAAGGCAAAATCCTGAATTTTATGTTTAAAAGCACAATGAAATGTTTTTTTTTTATTTTCTGCAGTTCATTTTGGAATTCCCAGTCTTAAATTCCATTCATTTTCAGTAAGGTGGCAAAGGATGTATAATACATTGCATTTTTATGCCTAATAGCACTTCCAATAGCCCTTAATACATATTATGTATACACACCTTTTAGCATCTGTTTCTACCTGACAGCTTACAGCACCAGGCTGAATCTTGTGATGAACAACTTGAAATGCTGAACACCATTACAATAGATTCTTATTGGGAAAAGAAAGCTCTTCTAGAGTTCCTTACTACCATCATCTGCTTGCTGGGGATTGAACCCAGGAGTGCTATACCACTGAGCTACATCTCCAGCTTTTTTTTTTCTCTTTTTGGAGACAGAGTCTTGGAAAGTTGTCCATGCCTGCCTCAAACTTGCCATCCTGCTACTTCAGCCTCCAGAGTCACTATGCCACTGTGCCACGCTCTTTATAATGTCTTTATTTTCCTTAAAAACAAAACAAAACACTTTTCCATAAAGATTTTAAAGTGATATATTTACCAGTACATAAAAGATGTCATGCTATTTTAAAAAAATATATATTTTTGTTACAGATGAATACAATACCTTTATTTATTTATTTACTTTTTTGTGGTCCTAAGGCTCGAGCCCAGTACCTTACACATGGTAGGTAAGCACTGTACCACTAAGCTAACCCCAGCCCAAGATGTCATACTCTTTCAATTAGTCTTCCAAAATAGGGATCAATTTGGGCTAATCAACTAAGCAATTCTCTTGGGCAAGGATTAAAGCTTGTATTTTATAAAGGGCAATCCATTATACAACCATATTACTGACTATTCTTCAAAAAATATATGTATATAGAATTGTTAATATTAAGAATTGCTAGGATCCTGTCTTAATATGGTATTTATTTATTTGAATAATTTTTTGTATTAGTTCCGTATGAAGAATGAGATTTAATAAAGGCTTGTTTTCTTATTTTGTCACTACACTTGGGGTTTTTGGTCTTGAACTATCTCCTAGAAATATATTTCCTAGAATTCCCAAAACAAAATAGTAAAATCTTTTTTAAAAAACTGTCTTTTGTATGCAAAATTCAGATTTTGGGCTTGTGTAATTTGGCCACATGCTAAAAATTAAGTAAGCACATACCCAACAAAGCACAGTTGGTGGAGGCTGTAGTTTATGAAAAATTCCAGCCAATGTTACCCACCCTAAACTTTCCTTTCTTTTGGCCTGACAATAATTCAGAAGAGGCACTATTGTACCCATCTTTCATTTTTAAATGTTTGGTTTCCACGTCCTTTCTGAGGTTGTAAACCTGTAGGAACCAGTTTTGACTATTAAGCAATATACCATTTAGTCCATACTGACTAATTATTTGTGACTTTGCAGGTACTGCTGAGGATGAATGTGATTTGGAGAAATTATATTTGCTGCCTAAGACTAAGAAAGGTGCCACACAGATGCCACAGTGGTTCCCACCCAGTGGCCCCTCTGGGATCAAGAATTTTAACTGACCCAGCCAAAGTTTTTGAGCACAATATGTGGTGAGTTCTCTTTTTTAGGTCTGATATTATGTATGTTTATTAAATATCACCAGTGATATTATTTAAATTTAGTACTAAGAAAGGATTTTAAAAACTATTGTTTTTATTTAGGTTGTAGAGAAAATCAAGGGTAACCAGTCCTGACTTAATGTGTTTCTAGTTCTAAATTGCTTTGCTAATGAAATTGGAAAAGTGGAACTTCCCTAGTGCTTTAAGCCAGCCCTCCCTCCTTGCCTCTGATCCTGACTTGCCAGTGTATTACTGGGTAGAGACTGGGTGGGAGGCTCTTTCCTAGGCAGGGTCCTCCTCTCACCCCACAGGCCCTTCATCTTTACAAATTGTTGTCAATCAGCCAATTGTATATACAGCACCTGCTGCTTCCTAAGCATCAGGGGAAGTCCCTGCTTTCAGAGAATCCAACACTATTTGGGAAGATAGGTAAATAGGTATGTATAGGAAAAGCTGATAATCAACAATACCAAACAGTAAATTATAAGGGCCCAGTGAGTGTTATAGAGGACATAAGCCTTATGAAGAACAAATAAGTAATGTAAAACAACTTGTGTATGGGCATAGTCAGGAAGGCTTCTTAGAGTGAGCAGAACTAAAATTAGGATTATTTATTCTGCCTCCTATTCCTGGCACAAAGCCTGACACAGAAATATTTGTTGACTAATGATTTGGATAGGTAGAGCTGGATTAAGGGCATTCTGAATGAGAAGAAAGTCATAAAACAGAGATGAGGAAGTACAAGGCATTCTTAGGAGACAATAAATAGGGCAGTTTGGCTTAAAAAAAGAAAAAGCACATCTAGGAGACTATTGAAAGATAAGATTGGAATGATATAGGCCAGGTGTTAGGATGGGAGCAAGATTATGCATGGTCCTAAATTCATAGCTGAAGTACAAGATGCTATAGAGCCACCAAGGAGAAATGATTATATACATATTTGGTAACAATATGCTGGACAGATCAGCAGGGAACTTGAAGCAGGAGAGAGCTAGTGAGAGAGCTCGTGAAGGAAGAATAAATAGAACTTGGTACTTGTACAAAATAAAGGAAAAGGAAGAATTTGAAGTTTTGAACTTAGGTCACTGCTAAGAAAATCAAGAAGTTAACTGATTTTTTATTTTGGAAAAAAAGATGATGAATTTAGATGTAAACATTCAAATAGGCTTTGAGAAAAGGATAATCTGGTAAAAAATGTCCAGAATACAGAGACTGCTGCTGGGAAGAGGGAGAAAAAGTATCTGGGCTGGAAATGCAAAGTGGGATGTAATAGCTCCAAACAAAACTTGTTATCAGACTACCTCTGGGGCAGGTCTATAAGACTGGGAAAGTGATTTGGGGACTTTTTTAATGTTTTTATTCCAACAGAATATCAGATTAAAAAGGAAGTTTACTGATCTTTTATTAATTAGTCGTATAGTGTGCAGTATGGTAGCCACTAACCACGTATGGGTTATAGAGCACTCTAAAATGTAGTTTATCTGAGTTAAGGTGGGCTGAAAGATTTTGAAAATTTAGTATTAAAAAAAGGTAAATTATTCAATTTTTATCGAATTTCATGTTGAAATGAATGAAATTTTGGATACATTGAGTTAAATAAAATATATTATTAAAATCCATTTTATCTCTTTACTTTTTTAACATGGCTACTAGAAATTTAAATTATATATGTGGCTCACATATATAATTTACTTTTTTGAAATTAAAAAGAGTAAATTAAATCATTTTGACTACCATTACCAGTATGGACAATTACTGTAGGTTGTGAGAAAAAATAGGCCCTTTTCCAGGCAAAGAGATCTCCAGAGGAACTTCTAGTCCTAGCCAAAATCCTCATTTACAAGGTTGGTTTTGTTTTTGTTTTTGTTTTTTCTCCTTCATTAAACCCTAGTGATTTAGTTGTCTATGTTCTATTTTCCTATCTGCTGCTACCTCCAGCTCTTTTGCCTGAAATTTTTGCTTACCTATTTAAATTTCTGTCTTGTCATCAACTCTTGGGAAAGCAAGGGTTCATTAGTCCAGTGCTTCTCAAACACTGAGGGTTAGCTTTGGGATGACTGCACAAGAATCCCTGGGAGAGTACCTTTGCATTAGGCCTAGAGATGTGGCCTAGGGATTTTTAATTTGAAAAGCTTTTGGTAATTGTTGAGCAGCCAGCCAGGTTTAAGAATCCTTGATCCAGTCCAATGACTTTCAGATTTTTTCTCTTTGCCTTTCTTCCTTCCTTCCTTTCCTTTTTACTGCTGGGATTGAACCCAGGGCCACTCACTGAGCTACACCCTCACCCCTTTTTATTTTTATTTTGATACATGGTTTTACCAAGTGGCCCAGATTGGCCTCAAACTTGTGATCCTCCTGTTTCAGCCTGAGTAACTGGGATGCACCACTGTGCCTGGCTCAGACTTTTCTTTAGCAGGAGAACTTTTTTCTAGTGAAGTTTTTATATGACATCTCAATATTTAAAAGGTAAAAATCAACCTGTTCTGAATGAAGCACATGGAGGCCTGGGACATAAGCAGCTCCACTTTTTTCCTTTCCCACATTCCATTACTCTACCAGCCTGGAAGACCTTCAGAGCTCTGCTCTCACAGTTTGAAAACCTCAAACTAGTCCAGACAGCCATCCTTCTCCATAGCTTGCTCTCCAAGGGGTTATCCAGCCTGCACTGGGATACCACTAGTAACCCCCTCCTCCAATAGATATATACTATAATAACAACAGTAAAAATTATTTCCCTCAAGAGAAAAGGAAGTAGCAGCTTCACTTCATCTCCCCACACATCCTTATTTCCACCTCCTATATTTTTTTGCATGAAGATTTGTTATATATATTTGTTTGTTTTCTCCTTCCTTCAAGTCCAAAGTTCTGTCTAAAAGTTTTCATTTTCTTCCTTGTTTTTTTTTTTCTTCCTTGTTTTTTTTTTTCTTCATATTTAAGAATAACATTTCCACTCTTGCTGAATTTGACTTTTTACGGACTGTTTCTGTGAAAGTACATGTCAATTTTCTCTTACAGATGTTGCTCTGAATTATATGTAGTTCATTTTTTCCTCTAGCCTCTACTTTGTATGGATGAATTACTCTTTCTATGATCCTTTTAAAACTTTTTCTTAACAAAAATATTCCATTTTATTCAGCTTCTAATATTCTGAGACAAATTTATCTTCCAGATTTTAGATATTTGTATCACTATATTTGTCAGCCTATAGTCTTGATTTTAAATAATTTAGTGAAGTGAAATTCACATAACATAAAATTAACCATTTTAGAGTGAACAATTCCCATGGTGTTAGTTACATTCACAACTTTATACAACCAGCGCCTCTATCTAGTTCCCAAACATTCCCGTAATTCCAAAGTGAAACCCCTTGTCCATAAAGCACTTATTCCCACCCCCTTACTCCCAGCTTTTGGCAACCACTAATCTATGTTCTATCTTTGTAGATTTGACTATTCTGTATAATGGAATCATACAATATGTGACCTTTTCTGTCTGGCTTTTTTCACATTGCATAATATATTGGAGCTTCCTCTACCTTGTAGCATATTCTTTATTTTTTTTAAGGCCAAACAATGTTTCATTATTTATATATACCACAATTGTCTTATTCATTCAACTTTTAAAGAACATTTATGCAGTTTCCACCTTTTGGATCTTGTGAATAGTACTATCAACACATGTATACAAGTTTGGATCCCTGCTTTCAATTTGAGGAGGTGTATACCTAGGTCTAGAATTGTGGGGGTCACATGGTAATTCTGTGTTTAAGGTTTTGAGCCATTGTCAAGCTTTTTTTCCACAGCAGCTAGAAACAGCTGGACTATTTATTTTACATTCTATCTTTACTCTTTTAATTACACTTACTGTATTTAAATCATTACTGGGGAAATACTGACCAGAAATGATATTCAAAATGCTTTTGAGACATGACCCAAAGGTCTATCTTTATTAAGCAGCTTACACTGTTACTTGGGAAAATCATTCCCCATTCCACATTATTTCTAGTTTAATTGTGTGGGAACTTTTCAAGATATCCCTGAAATTTGTAAGGAAGCAACAAGCATTTGTGTTTATCTTATGACTAAAGTAGCTAAGCCTGTGGGATGATCCTTAGTTTAAAAAAATACAGCTTACTTCATGAACCAGTACTTAGAGATATACTTCATTACACATTCATAAAATAGGAACAGAAGTTGCCTGTACAGTTTTTACCATGTGAGATGTGTACCTGGGTTCCCATTTGTTCTATGCGTCTGTGTTTCCATTTCATTCTCTTTTTAAGTATTGGGTAGACTAAGTTGATTTCATGACTCATGGAAAGGTTATAACCTTTAGTTTAAAAAACACTGAGCTAAGCCATTGTCTGTAGACCCAAGGTAAGACCTGGATGTTGCAACATTATTTCTGTTGTATAAGCCATTTAAATAATAGGATGTTTTTCTGATCTCAATAAGGTTCAGATTCTAAGAATTCTTTAATATTACATAATTTTCCTTATGTAATCATTGTATGATCATCTGACTGCTCTTGCCCTATTTCATACATCGTAAATATTTTCTTTGACTTCCTCCATCATCACATTTATTTTGAGAGGCAGTAGAGTACAAATGTTGACATTACAGACTTAATGGTTACCCAGCCTTGGGAAGCTACTTAATATCTCTCTCTCTCTCTCTCTTTTTTCTTTTTTTATAATTCAGTGAAGTGAAATTCTCATAACATAAAATGAACAATTCTGTGGTATTAATTACATTCCCAAAGTTAACCTAATTCTGGGAAGATACTTAATCCCTCTGTGACTTAGTTTCCTTTTTCTAAGATGGGATAATAATAGTAGTATCTACATCATAGCATGTTATTAGGTTTAAAATGATCACATTTAACATAAAGTATCTTTACATTGTAAATAAGCAACATACTATATAATAATTAGTTATCTTATTATGATTACTATTTTCTAATGTGTTCTTTATTTATGTTTTTTCTTAATT